AGAAAAAGTGAAATTATCTCTGTTTCCAGATGACATGATTATATACTTAAAAATTCCTAAAGAATCTACAAAAAGATCCCTAGAAATAATAAATGAAAACAGTAAAGTGGCAGAATACAAAATCAATATACAAAAATTTATAGCATTTTTATACACCAACAACGTGCAGACTGAGGTAGACTTAAGGAAAGCAATCTCATTTACAATAGCCACACACACAAACACACACACACATACCTAGGAATAAACCTAACCAAAGAAATAAAAGACTTCTATAAGAAAAACAATGAAAAACTAAAAAAGAGAAATTAAAATTGATACAAAAAAGTGGAAAGACATCTTATTTTCCTGGACTGGGGAGAATTAATATAATCAAAATGTCAATTTTACCCAAATTATTTTATAATTTTAATGAAATTACAATCAAATTACCATAGCTATTCTTCACAGAAATAGAAAAACAATAATAAAATTTGTCTAAAATCATAAAAGGCTCCATATTGTCAAAGCAATACTGTGCAAAAAAATAATAAAGTAGGCAGCATCTCACTTCCTGACTTCAAAATATATTACACATTTGTTATAATCAAAATAGCATGGTACTGGCACAAAACAGGTATGTAGTCCAATGGAACAGAATAGAGAACCTAGAATACATTCCAAAATATATAGTCAACTGAGTTTTTACAAAAGATACAAGACAATCCAACGTGGAAAAGAAAGTCTCTTCAACAAATGGTGCCGATGACTCTTTCCTTCCTGGTCTTCTTGACTAGCTATTCTTTGCTTTCTTCTCCAAGTTTCTTAGACCTCACACTCGGGTGGATTTTTATCTGACATGATTTGGCACGTTTTTCCTGTCTCCCTGTGACCGTTACTTTTCTATTAAGTTTTGTGTTATTGCCTTACTCCAGGGATTGCTGCTGGATCACCATCTCTTCCTTTTCTACTTTCATTCTGTATTTTTTTCCCTAGGAGATTTTATCCAGCTCTGTGGTTATAAATGGGATCATTTATCTTTGAAACTCTGAACTTGGACATCCAACTACCTACTTAAATTTCCATAGAGGTATCTAATCAACATGAAATTCACCATACCAAAATATAGCTAAAACCTACCTCTCAAAAAGTCTTCCTCATTATATTAAATAGTATCACCATCTATTCAATTTCTCAGGTCAAAATTAGGGTCATCCTTGATTTCTCTTTTTCCTTTACACATTGCCTTTCCTTTATACCTTAATCCACCAGTAAGTCTCATGGCACTATTAAAAACTATCTCAAATCTTATTAGATTTTGTTCAAACCATCATCATTTTTACCCATAACCAGTATCAAATTTGTGGATTTAAAAAATTTGTTATTTTCACTATTTGAATATAATAAGCTCCTTAGGAGCCTAGTATAGTGATTATAAATCAAGACATCCTCAATAAGCATCTTTTGAAAAACTAATTAAATTATAAGAAAATTCACCTAAAAGAGATTTTTTTTTCTGAAAGGATAAATAAAATTAATGAAAGATGTATCCAAATATTTCCTGAAGTTGCATATGGTAAAATTTTGAGAAATCAAAATGGTTACACTGTACTTCTTGAATTAAATGGGGACTATTATGCTTGTTTGGTTATAAATTATTTAAACTTACAGACACATCTCAGAGCTCTTGTATTCATATTTTATCAAATATGAAGATACATTGCAGGAGTAGGCAAATGGGCCAAATGCAGCCTGTAGCCTGTTTTTATAGTTATTAAGCTAAAAATAGTTTTTTCATTCTTGAAAATTTGTTAAAGAAAAAGAAGAGTTGCAGATAGTGGTACAGTGGTAAAACATAATGCTCTATGAGATTGACCCATGTGGGAAGGTTTAGGGTTGGAGTCCAGAGACCTCGCTGAAGATGCTGAGCATGCATCTACTTATGACCAAGCATTAGCTGAGTCTGGGGGTTGGATTGTGGTGTCAAGACCTTCTAGGGGTTTCTCTGTCTTTCTCTCTTTCTCTGTCTCTCATGATACTAAACTGGTGAAATAGCATTCTGTGACTTTTGACTAAAATATTGCTACTTTTCTTCTAGGCTTTGTTGTCTGGTTTTAAGAGTTTTTGTCCTGTCTTGAGCTGTCAGTAGGTTCATGTACCTACTATTTGAACAGAATACTAACCTGTTTCTGGGCTTTAAGTTTTAAGCAAATTTCTTTACCAATTCAAAACTGCTTTTCTTGAAATTACCAGCTGAACTTGCTATTGAAAGTAGTTAGATTATTTAAGAAATTGTGTGATCAATAAATGTGGGAGGGAAAGGAATGGAAGACAACTGTAGACACCAGAGATAGTGTGACAAGAGGGTGGGAAAGGGTCAGATATAGGGATATATAAGCAAATAAACAAAAACTATTTTTTAGAAAAGAAAGAAGTGATCTAGAGAAGTATGTGGCCTATAATTATAAATTGTTTACTATCTGCTCCTTCATATTTACCATCCCCATTGAAATAGAGTTTAAATTAAATTTTTTTATTAATGATTTATTTTATTAATGATTTATTTTTAGGGCAGTTTTTGGTTCAGTAAAATTTAGAGTAATCCATAGAGATTTCCCATATATCCCTAGTCCCCACACATGCATAGATGCCCCCATTATCAACATTCCCTTGAGAACAGATGTTTTGTTGTATTAAAATTATTTCAAAGATCCTAATATTTTGAGATGGGAATATTTCAAGAAAGAGGCAATGAATAAGCAAATGGCCTAAAGCTCTACAGACTTGATAAAGACAATTCATATAAAATCCATAAATAATACAAATGCTTCTAATTGACAGAACCAGGGTCAATTAAATTTAATGCCAAAGGATATTAAGGAGAGACATAATTGTTGAATATTAAAGATTTGAAAGAAGAAACATCTGTGATTCAGTGTTAATTTAATATAAAATTTATGGCATACATTTTAAAATAAAGTAATTTTCCATTTCCCTAGGGGTTTACATATTTTTAACTTTTTCTTTAGCTTGTAGATATGATTTTATATATTAAACGTAAATTTTGAATCTATTTCTCCAAATTGAAGACCAATTAAAATATTGAGCATTAAAATATTAAATTGATTATATGAGAGAAAAACTATTAGGTAAAATATTAATGGAGAGAATATTAAAATGTTTGGGGGCTATATTAAATATTTACTAGCTATAGCCTTTAAGAAATTAACATTATTGCCAAAGTTTTTATTGTTGCCACTGCTGCTATTAAAAGTGGACACCCAAATAGCCATTGCATTGGGTGTGAATAAATTAACCTTTAAATGAACATTATTCCATTTAATGAGCTTTGTCTTGTCATCTTGAATATGAGCATTAAATATTATCTTTTAGCTAATTCAGTGTGCATAGCGTGGTGGGCTATAAATTTCTTTACATTGAAGACTAGTTATATTTTTAGTGTGCCTTTTGCTGTTATTCTAAGATACTTGTATCTTTTTGTTTTTCAAAGTAAATGAGTGAGTCCAGTTCAAATACATTCCTGTGCTGTTTGTACCAGCAGGCTACACTTATTTTGGAACCTATTCTCTCTGTGTGCATAACTGCTAACAGCAGACTTTTTTTTCTCTGGGAAGCTTTCTCCCCAGCAAGAAATCCTATGCAGCTGCCTAGGTAGGACTGTCAGTCAATGTCCCTATCCTTCCTTAACAAAGGGTAAACACTGGACCTACTTTAGGGTTGGGGATAAGCCCTTCTTTTTTGAGCAGAATGACTCACAGATGAAAAAGCATTGGAGCTCTGGGGAGAGTCCACCTGCTGATCAGGATATCAGAGCCCTTGTGTTTCTTGTTCCTTCCTGTCTTGGTCATTTACCTGTGTTAATTTGTTGAGCTACCCCACTCCCACTCTATGTATTCCTTATCTGCCCCTCCCAATACTCACATATAATTTGTCTTAAGTTAATTAGAATCACTTTCTTTTGTTTTTGAGAGTCCATTTGAGCAGAGTCATTCAGGTTTGTCTGAATATGAAACCAAAAAGCCTGAGGAGAAATATAACATTATGAACTGCACTGAAAAGGTAAAAACAAATAAAAACTGGCGCAAATGATTTCACTATAGCTATTTTCTGATTTTCCTATATTACAATATATAGAATTAGATGTTTACCTCATCTAAGGTACAAATGCTGTTATGCCATAAATATCCTGTGTTAGTACAATGGATACTATCTAAATTGTTTCTGATGTGTTAATGCCAACCCAGTGTTCCACATGCCCTCCTTGACTGAAGAAAAGTCCTCTTTGGCCCACTGATATTTATTTGAATTGTGGGAATTCTGTTATCTAATGTTGATTCAGGCAAACACTACTAAAATAAGAGTTAACACTAAGCAAACACATGTATTGATCATAACAAGTGAAAACAGTGTGGTTTGGTAACCACATACTCCCTTAATACTGAATACCTGCAAATTAAATTTTCCTCTAATTTTACACAGAACTTTATATTTTTTACTATAAAATTACAGAGCTAGAGAGAGAGCTGAAGAGTTTGGGCAAAAAGATTATCTTCAAGAAAGGATAACATCTTCAATTTATAATGTTTATTATTACTAATATCTTCTAAATCAGCTGTTTCAATAGCCCAAAAGGAAGGTATTACCTTGCTTATTTAGGTGAAAAAAACTGAGGCTCTGGGGAAAAAAGGAACTTGCCTGAGGTCACTCTTTACTTATGAAGGGGCAGTGCTAAAATTTGAACTAAGGTGTCTCTGTCAAAAAATCCCAAGGTTTTAAACACTGCATTATTTAACTTCTCTAACATTTCAAGCACTGTTCATTAGTTCATTAAGCAATATCTGTATATACAGGGTACAAGAAACATTGGATAAAATTTATCACACAAAATAACTTTTAAGGAACCAGCAATGGTGTAATGGTTATGTCGCTAGACTCCCACATAGTCGATATTCTAGTCCTGGACTCAATGGCTTAAAACTCACACCAGGCACATATGCATGTGTGCCCAAAAACCCCAAGTGGAGAATGGAGAAGGGATTGCGGTGTGGCCATCTCCCCGGGGGATAATCTCTTGCTTTTTTTATCTCTCCAGCAAGCATATGCACCATATGGCAAAAATCTCTCTTAAAAAACAAAACAAAACTTTAAAAAATCAACTTAGATTAAAAGACTTTGGTAGGTTGTACTTGTAGAAAATAAAATGAATGGAGTATGTATCTTACACAAATTCCAGTCTCTGCTTTCTTATCCTGTGCATAGCCTAAAACTCTCTAGTTCAAATATAATATCTATGGCTATCTCAGAGACAAATTCAGAGTTCTTTTAATGGTGAAATTCAAAAAACACAAATAAACTTTAAGTATCAGAAAGTTAAAAAAGTATCAACATCTTGTCTAGTGTGTCAAAAACCTTAATGTAAAGAATTTTTTTTATTCAAAATAAAGATTTGGGGGCCAGCCAGTGGCATGGTGGTTTAGGTAGCTGGATTCTGCAGTTGACAGTACAGTTTGAGACCAGGACCTGGTGGCTTCAAAATATGCTGGGTGCATGTGTGTGCATGCTCACAATCCTGACAGGAAAGTGCAGGAGAAAGGACTGTAAAATGACCATCCCCTGGTGGGTGCTTTCTCACTTTCTCTCTCTATCTCTTTCTTTTTTTCTCTTTCTCTCTGGTAAGTGCAAACACACTACAGCAAAATAATAAAAAATAAAAATAGAAAAATATATTAGGGGAATGACTCCATGGCCTGGTGGCTAAGGCAGCTGAATCCCACACAACTTACTGTGTGGTTTGAGTCCCAGATCTGTTAAGAAACACACTGGGCATTTGTGTTTTTGTGCCCAAACCTGAAAAGGAGGGAGAGTTGAAAGAAAAGGGATTGCAGTGTGATCATTTCCCAGGTGGGTACTTACGTCTCTGTTACTCTCTGGTAAGTACATACATTCTCTGACTAAATACATAAAATTTGGGAATCATTTTGCACAATTGTGCTTAGTAGAGTATGTGGACATTTAGGACTCTAATATTATGAAATAAGAATATAAACTCATTGGGAACCAGCAGTTAGCATAATGGCTATGTCGCTGGACTCCCACGTAGTCGACTGCGGTTTGCGTCCTGTATCCGGTGGCTTAAAACTCACGCAGGGCGCGTGTGCGTGCATGCCCAAGATCCTGAGAGGAGAATGGAGAAGGGATTGTGGCGTGACCATTCCCCTTGGGGGGTGATTTCTCGCTTTCTGTCTCTATGTCTCTCTCTGTCTGTCTGGCGAGCGCATGTGCCCTATAGTGAAAAACTTCTCAAAAAAAATTGTACAATAATTAAAGGACAACCATGGAACACATGGAAATTTTAAAGTAAAATGAGTAACAAGATAATAAAATTCAAAATGTTTATTCATTCTAATTTTTCATGAACACTATAATGTTCAGTAACTATTTTCACTTTGCAGATGTTTCTTGTTTTTATTATCTTGCCTTTTATATCTTCTTGGTTCTATTTCTTATTTCCTGGCACAAGATAATTTTTGTATTGTTAATTTTTTTTATCCTCTGCGAATATAAACTCATGCCATGTAAAAAAGGAATTTCCACCAGAAATTCGAATAAAAGTTGAAATCAAGTCTCTCTAAGATTATCTTCTAAAGCTGTGCTTATAAAAATGGAATCCCAGACCAATAGAATCAGCACCCCCCATGAACGTAGAAATGCAAATTTGCTGGCAATGTTAAGCTTACTGGATCAGAAACTTTGGGATTGAAGCCCAGCAATCTGTTTTACAAGCCCTCCAGGTGATTCTGCTCCATATGAAAGTCAGAGAGTCATTGTGCTAGGATGCAAACTGGGTTAGAACCAATGGATTCAATTTGGATCAGTTATCCAAAGATCATTCAAACCAGACAAAGCACCTACAGTATGTCCACTGAAAGTAATGAAAGTGACTGATTGGTAATGTTTTTAGATAAACCTCTTCTTGATTATGTGTGCTTTCTGGTCTTGCCCATCAGAACGAATCAGACACATCCTGGAGAAATAGAGATTATCTTCTGGAACTGACCGACCTCTGAAGCTCAATACATTCTGTTTTTGAAGTGTGAGGATTGAGCACCATGTATGCATTCAGACAATGAATCTTAACTGCAATCAAACAGTACATCTTAATTAATTAGTTGGACAGGAGTCCAAACCAAAGAGGCTGTGAGTTTTAATGACTATTGAAAGGGGCTTTAAGAGGAACAACAAGGTTAATTTAACTAATTTTGTACTAATTGTTATCATTTATAAGTATTGGGCTTTGCAGTAAGTATTCCAAATATTAATGTAGTTAGTGTTGTCTAAAACTATGAAGTTATTCCCTGTCCCTCAGTCTCATTGTCTATAAAATAGGAATAAGGTCATCTCCATTATAGAGTTCTTTTGAAAACTAAAAGAACTAATACACATGAAATGCTCATGAGGGAACCTGACACATAATAGACACTCGATCAATATTAGTTATTGATATTGCCCCCTCCCTCTTTCTCTCTCTCTTTTGGAGAGGTTTTTGCTACAGGGCACGTGTGTTCACCAGAAAGACAGACAGAGACAGAGAGACAGAAAGCGAGAAATCTCCCCCCAGGGGCGATGGCCATGCCACAATCCCTTCTCCTCCATTCTCCTCTCGGGATCTTGGGCACGCACGCACACATGCCCAGCATGAGTTTAAGCCACCGGGGTCTGGGACTCGAACCACCATCAACCAACATGGGAGTCCAGCGACATAGCCATTACACTAACTGCTGGTCCCAATATTACCTCTCTTTTATTGATGAAAAAACTGTGGCTTAGCTACATTGACTAAGTGTCCAACTGAACCATAGTGGTGCACTGCTGTGGATGCTGGGCTCTGCAGGACAGCTGGGATTCACGGGATGCCCAGATTTGACTGCAGGTCTAACCTAAAGGCTGGGCAAGATGACATGTGTCTATAATCCCAGCACCTCGGGGAAGCTGAGGTAGGAGGATCACAAACTTGAATCTGGCAATGTAACAAGACTTTGTCTAAAGAAGACCTGGGTGTGTTGGTGTGTGCCCAGCTGGGAGGCTGAGGAAGATCGTGAATGGCAACACCATTCAGATAAATAAATGATAAATTGCCAGAGATTGCATGTAAGTGAGAGCAGTGGCTTTGCATCTGTATGATTCCAGGGTTGTGTCATGAGCCCTTGCACTCTCCAGCCTTCCTTTGCTTTCTTTTAAAGTCCAGAGAACAAGGCTTCTGTATCTCTTCCATCCTACCTCCCAAAAGTAAACTGGCTCCTCTTGTATTTGATTGCTTTTGCCTACTTAAAAATTAAGAAAGGCCATTTCTCAAGAGAACATGTAAGCTTATCATCAAGAGAGTCACAAGGAATCAAGATAAACTTGCCTGTGAAAGCCACTGACACTTTCATTAAGCACTGATCGGCCCACTGAAAAGTTCTCCTCTGATGGATATCTCCAGTGTGGCTCCTACAGAAGTCACCACTGCCTGCTGCAGTAATGTAATCAGGTAACCTTTGTCTATGACAAGCCCCAGGCTGGGGAATGTTAAAACACCAACAAAAGGAAATGGCTTTTTGATTGGCATGACTATTCTGTGAGCTGGCCCATGGATAAAATCAGTCATACCAAATCAGTTTATGCACCAACACATACTTAGATTGTATTTTGGATTTTTTACAGCAGATATGATCTTTTCTGATTTTGCTTTTAAAGATCTTGGTGGTGTCTCCTATCTTCTGTTAAGCTAGGATGCTAGCAAAGAGGAAGTCAGCTATAATTCTCCATTTTTAATTATATAAGATTACACTGGGAGTCTGCTAGAAAGCAGCTTTCTGGGCCTCAAGAGCAGAAATTCCAGTCCTATAAGTTTAGAATTAAGCCAAAGATTATATGACAGCATCTACATCTACATTTATATATTATGTATATAGATTACATATATTATATATATATATTTAATATATAAATAGGTACAAAAATAATAGTACCAGTGTTGTCCTTGAGCCTTTGAGAAATAGAGAAATTAAAAAGTATCATTGACATGTGGTTTACAGTAATAAAAGTGAACTCCTAGAAAATTAATTTTACATATACATTTTTTATGTGAATTATATGTCATATGCTCTTAGGTTTCTGATGGCAGGTACTAGAATTTTCATTTTATATTCCTGGTTCCCAGTACCTGTTCAATATTTTTGAATAAATGAAGAGTGGATAAATGATAATCTTAGGGTCCTGTCTCATTTTGGTGTCCTTGGTTTGCTTTGCACTCGGTTCATATTCATTAATAGAATTTTATATTTACACAGAAAGTAGAAATGCAGGTATCATTAAACAAGTCCTGCTTAAAATAGTCCTAAAATTGCAAACTCCCAATCTTGCAAATAGCCCTTGTCTATGAACCACCTGGGTGGAAGAAAGCCCCATGACCACTGGTCTCAAGATCACTTCCCCGTCATCCCCATTTCACCCTACTTTCTTCCCATGTTACAACTACCCCCAGATACCAGACAGCCCCTACCAACACTTTATTAATATTAACACATTTGCAGAGAATCTCCTAGTCTTCCTACTTGTTTCCCAATCATTTACTCCACCAGAACTCCTGGGAGTCTTCTACCTAGGCACCTTGGTGCATAGTCTTATCCTTGTTATAGAGTTACTCGAGTTGTTAACATGCAGGGATAACTTTCTCTCTCTTCTTTTTTTTTCCCCCAAGTGTACCATAGAGTGCAGGGGTTCACTAGAGAGACACAGAGAGAGAAGGAGAGAGAGAGTGAGGTAAAATGAAAGGTCACCCCCAGAGGTGGCCATGCTCCAATATTTTCTCTTTCATTCTTTTCTCAGGATATTGGGCACACAACACATACGAGCCTGGTATGTTTTTTTCAAGCAATTGAGTTCAGGACTCAAACTGCACAGTTGGTCACGTGGAATCCAGCTGCCTTAACCACCATGCCACCTGCTGGCCTATATAGCTTTCCTGTTTTAACATTGCTTTTACTCAGCTTCACCCAACTGAGAGAGCAAAAGCAGTTGAAAGCTTTGTCCAGCCCAGTTTGCCAGGCAAGAGTCATATGCGAACCAGTTCTGTGTCTTCCCTGGTTTAGACTCTGTTTCAGTCTCTGAAACAGCATCCTCAAGAAAGAATGATCCAAGGGGTTAACTCCTCAGCAGCAAACGTAAGGATACATCTGTGAGCAAACACTAAGGTCTCCTTTTTCTTTTGAGCTTATATCTAAATGATTGGCAGACTTGCAGGAGGTAGGAGTAGAGAGGAGAAGCTACCATCTAGTCAGATGTGAACAAGATGTTTACTGCCACACTTTAATTTGTGACAACTCTTGAGGTGAAAATGAGTGTCCTCTTTTCTTGTAAGTAAATCTTGGAGAGTTTAAGCAACTTTCCCAAAGTGATGTTGTTAGAGGTTGAGAGGAGTTCACATTGCAGCACAGCGTGACAGTATGTACCCTCCCTTCTCAAACATGTCCTCCCCAGTGTCAGGGAAGAATAAACAGGACTTCTGTGGGAGGTCAAGGATATATGCCAGACTTACATGTCCTGTTTGATCCTCAAGTTCATGTACACTTGTATATTTTCACAATACAGTTATGTGAGGCTGGAGTAAAAGGAATGATTACTTCCTCAAAACGTCAAGTTAGATGATGCTCCAGAAAATTAATTGTGCTTGTTTCTTGCTCTTGATTTCCTCTAGAAGATTAGAGCAGGTGTCAATCACAGGTAAAGCCTGCCTCCCATGCCTAGCTTTATTATCTCAACATAAAGGTGGCCTCAAGTTGGAACTAAAGTTCTGGGCCACTAAGCAATGAGAAAAATAATGCCACCTTATTTACGTTACTAACATGAAGTCTTCACTTGGGCAGATTGCTCAGCATCCAACTATACTGGCCAATTCACTTATTTTGGGACATGCCTCATGGACTATTACACTCAGATGAAGTCGCATAAGTTAACCCTTGACTTTAAGGTCAATGTGAAACGTTTTTCTTAGAGACTGGAATAAAGAAAAAGTTTGATTTTAGTAGATAGTCAAAGTAAATACTACAATATTTTCACCTGACAGATAGCTCTAGAATTCCTGAAACCAAAAGCAAAAAGTAGAAGACAAGAATTTTTGGGAACAAGCAGTTAGCATAATGGCTATGTCGCTGGACTCCCACGTAGTCGACCGCGGTTCTTGTCCCGGACCCGGTAGCTTAAAACTCATGCCGGGCACGTGTGCGTGCGTGCCCAAGATCCTGAGAGGAGAATGGAGGAGAAGGGATTGTGGCATGACCATCCCCCCTGGGGGGTGATTTCTCGCTTTCTGTCTCTATGTCTCTCTCTGTCTGTCTGGCGAGCGTGCACGCCCTATAGCAAAAAAAACCTCTCCCCCCAAAAAAGAAGTTTTAATTTATGATATGCATGTTACACCATGACAGAGAAAGCAAATGTTCTGATTTGATTGTGAGCTGTCAGGTTTCACTTTCTAAACAGAACTCTCTTATATACTGAAGGACATATATATTTTTTCTTTTTTTCTTTTTTTCTTTTATTTTCCTTTATACATTCAATCACATTATTATTTGGCTTACAAAAATGGATATTTCAATAGGTGAACATTTCTCCCTAGTACAGTTGATAAAACTACAAAAGATCTTCGACAGATAATACTATATTTCTTTGTGCCATTAATGCTTTGCCTCCCTATCTTTCTTCTAAGTGTCCTTCCTCAGACCCTCCTCTTTCACACACACTATATCTGGTATTTATATCTATATATTGTGTTTTTATATCCTTTAGTCAATTAGTTTCAATCATAGAGTGCGGACACTAGGTATATATTACGTGGGGACATACAATGCCTCTCCTTCATAACCTGGCTTGCTTCACTCAGCAGTAAATCTTCCATATTCTTCCACTTCCTGTCAAAAGCCAGAATTTTGTTGTTTTTCATGGCTGAATAGTTTTCCATAGAGTATATGTGTCACAGTTTTTCTATCCATTCATCTGTTTGGGGGCATTTGGGTTGTTTCCATGGCTTAGCAATTGTGAACAGTGCTGCAATAAACATCAATATCTAAGCACTTTTCTGATTAAGTATTCTTCTGTCCTTTGGGTAGATACCAAGGAGTGGGATTGCTGGATCGTATGGTAGTTCTATTTGTAGATTTTTGAGTAATCTCCAAATTGTTC